TATATGTCAGAGCTTTATAAATGTATAATAATAGTGTGTGACTGTGTGGGGACATTAGAGTGTTAGCTACTTTAGTGCAGAGAATGCCAGGGGGGTTGGGGGGCCTGTGAGATCCGATTCTCTATAGCAGTGGTTCTCAACCTGTGTAACCTCGGGACCCACATGTTTCCTTGGTCATTAAGGCGTGACCCAAAAATGATTTCATTTCTGAAACATTTTAATTTATTACACAAAACAACTTGTGCAGTATTCAGCAATATATATTTTGCTGAAAGTAAATGAATTAAAAAAAATTAAAAAGTTTATAAAGAATAAAAATTAAATATTTAAAAAAATTAAAATAAAAACGTGTGGGGGTGGCGGTTGCGGGGTACAGTTCCAATGGATGTTTATATAATGGGGGGTGGGGGGGAATGTCTGCCCCGGGCGCCCATAACTCTGGTTACGCCACTGATACTGATGGACATTATGTGGGCTTGGAATACATAATGTCCATCAATGTACCCTGTCCTAATGTCCCCTGTCAATGCAGAATCTGGAGGGGGTGGTGAGGGTGTCTGTATGGGGAAGGGGGGGCATTAGCAGGGGCACCACGGCAGGTTCTCTACTAAGCCCCTGCTAATGCCCCCCGAAGCTTCTGCATTGACAGGAGACGTTACAACAGGGGACACTATTGGATATTATGTGGGCTTGGAATACATAATGACCATCAGTGTCCCCTGTCATAAAGTTCCCTGTCAGTGCAGAAGCTGTGGAGGGGTGCATTAGCATAGGCTCTGCTGCAGGTACAGGTGCAGGTTGGTCACGTGATTGGGCTGCTCAGTCTAAAATGCCTGGGCCTATTTTTAGTCCCAGTCCGGCCCTGCCACCCACTGAAAGATGCAGAAACAGTGTCATCTGGATTTTCATAACACATTTACCATCCCAGTAGATATTGATTAGCAGCACTTTCCATCGTTACCGACAGAATTGATCTAAACTGTCTTAATATACCATGACAAAAATGCACCTTTGCCTGTGTAGGCAAAAATCCTTGCACCGGCCCTGGTTACAGTCACCAACTTGATTTTGCTGGCAACCTAGTCTTGGCTATGCAGAAATTCAGTTTGTTCTCATGATATAAATCCAACTCACAAAGCTCCCTCATGTAAATGGACAGTAGAGTGCATGAATAATATAATATATGAGGATACGGAATGTATAAAGAAGTGAGAATGTGCATTGGTTTTACTTTTTCTTGTTTTATTTTTGTAGTAAGCTACTGTTTAAAAATGTGTTATTTGATTTATTTGCTCCAAGTACAGCCTGTCCATGTGGCCTAATAATTGTTACTGTGCATACTTGAATACTATTTAAAACTAGAAGAATGACTGGACTTGACATCTAGAACATGGGATATCATTTCATGACCTATAAACACACGGGTTAACTCCTATCCTATTTTTGTTTAGATTAAAGTGTGTATATAGCCAAAACCTTTTTTTTTGGATAGAGTAGGGAATCAATAGTGCCTGTGTTGGGGTTTTACTGCTGTTTGGGGCTCACTTAGAAATTTTCCCTCACATCCTGTCCCGGGACAACCTACTCACCAGACCGGAAGTAAAGAAGACTCTCCAACAGCAACACAGGCAGAAGTAAAAATGCCTTTTTTAAGTTAAGAAGGGTAATGCTAGAACCCCTGTTGGCTTTTTATTGTTGTCTGTTTTACTGTTGCAGATTTTCCCTTTCCTGTCTTGTAAAATGTTGTCCCCAAAAACAGGAAGTGAGGGTATATCTCTCTGTCAGAGCCCTGAATAGAAGTAAGTAAGTGTTTTGGCTATAGATACACTGTAACAAATATCCTAATCTATGTTAATTTTCCCTAAATAAGAGAATAGCCATCATTAAACATGGGCATTGAATCTGACCATTGTGAGACGTTCTCCCTATCTCCACATGTCAGCAATGTCAGTATTGCTGTTCTACTCCAAAAAAAATATTCCATAAAGCGTTCATGCTAATATCAATATTTATTTTTGTCTGTAGCCACTATAAAAAGTCTTTTGCAGTAAATGGAAACTTTTGAACCTGGGAATATAACCTTGGTTCCTAAGCAGGAATCAGGAAGGACTGAATTGACTCAGAGATACATAAGACAAAAGATTTATCTGTATGTTAAAACAAGGTTGTGAAAATAGTTGCTACCATCAAGAGCTTTGCTGATACATAGCAAAATTAATTTTACACTATTTACGTCCATATAAAACATTTTTTTTTTAGTTTTGTATAGAGTGGAAGAAGATAGAATTCATGCCAAAGTTGACAAATTTTTGGGCACACAAGACAGAAAGTGTTGGGAAATCTTTCTAGCAGGGACACAATGGTAATACAAAATGTTATTAATACTATAGAGAAAAGCTAAAATCCCTGTTAACTTTGTTTTTCTTCTTCCTTTTAACTTTCTGCCACAGTTGCAATGGTGTCATCAGGACAGGAAGTGAGGGATAATGTGACTAATAGAAATAAGTATACAGAGAAGACACAATTGTTCTCTAATCTATCAAAACCTAGAAAAAATAGTTTAGTCTAGAAATACAATTTAAGCAAGAGATGCATGGTGAATACACACACACACACACACACACGGATCATACAGATGTATGGTGAATACACATTAACTGCAATGATTTATATAGATTTGTGCAGTCTCCTCCCGCAGCGCTCGACCAGCTGTCACTTTCTCTCCTCCCTGCTGGGACACAGAGCAGCGCCCAGCGGGGAGACAATAAAGCACGGATGCGTCGCTGTATCTGCAGAAAAATGACACTTTCGGCATTTAGCCAAAAGTGCCATTTTCGGCCGATATGTTTTGGCGGCCGATATATCGGTGCATCCCTAATATTTACAGCAATGCAGAATGGCACAGGCTATAGAGGACTATACATCCCAGCAATACTTTATATAACAATAGCATTTCTGTATAAAGTACTGCTGAGATTTGTAGTCCTCTATAGAGGATGCCATTCTGCATTGCTTCAACAGAACTTTTTACAACATTAGGCTACAAACAATAATTATTTTAATGAATTATTTACCCTTACCTCTTCTGTCTTCAGCTGTTTCCTGTGTGTGTTCTGTTTGCTGGGTCCTCACTGCCGTCCGAGGCCCCATGATGTGCCTGCAGGGCCGTCTTCAGTGCCTCCTTGTTCCACGGCTCCCTCCTTACAACAGCAGGCGGGCCCTATACTATCTCGGTCGGCGGACGGGCCCCCCCCATTTCAGCGCGGCGCCCCCCCATTTTGAAGTGCCAGATGTTGAGATCAGTATCCGGCAGCCGGAGGGCCCCCCATCTCTGCGCCGGGAGTTTCGGATGAACCTGACATTCCAGGCGCAGAGACTTGGGGCCCACTGGCTGCTGGATACCGATCCGGTGCTATCCGGTGGCCGGCAAGTCCTACCATCACCATCTATGCACAGGGACTTTGCTGGGCCCCCCCAGGCTGAGGCCCCGGTGCGGTCGCACCGGCGGTAGTTCCGCCACTGTATAACACCCCCCCACACACACTCTTTATACATTGCACCCCTCTCTACATATGCCTTACCCCCCTCTCATATATATAAACTCCCCATCTCGCTATATACACATTGTCCCCCCATCTTGCATCTCTCTCTCCATTGCCACCTCTATACATTGCCCCCCTTTCTATATATACACATTGCCCCCTGCCCCGGCTGCAGTTCCGCCACTGTATAACCCCACACACACTCTTTATACATTGCACCCCTCTCTACATATACCTTACCCCCCTCTCTTATATATAAAATCCCCATCTCGCTATATACACATTGTCCCCCCATCTTGCATCTCTCTCTCCATTGCCACCTCTATACATTGCCCCCCTCTCTATATATATACATTGCCCCCTCTATATACATTGAACCCCTCTTTATATATATTTCCCCCTCTCTCTATACATTGCCCCCCTCTATATACATTGAACCCCTATTTATATACATTGCCCTCTCTATATACATTGAATCCCTCTTTATACACATTGCCCCCCTTCTCTATATACATTGCACTCCTCTCTATATACATTTCCCCCCACCCCC